CATTCTCACCTCTTTTATTGGTCTTGCTCCGATTAGAGCTGCAAACGAGTCGAATCGAATCGAGTTTTGGCTTTATCGAGTCGAATCTTGACTTAATTTCATCGAACTCCAACTCGAGCTCGAGCTCGACGAGCTGGCAATTTTTAAGTTCGAGCTCAAGCTCAACTCGATTAGAGTTCGAGTTCGAGCACGAAAAAAAAATAATTATTTTATTTTTTTAAAAATAAATAAAATAATAATTTTCTTAATAAATAATAAAATATTAAAGATATTTATGTAATTTTACTATTAAAATAAAAATAAAAAAAATATATATATATATATATATATATATATATATATATATATATATATATATATATATATATTCGAGGCTCGCGAGCTAACGAGCTTAATGTTTTGACCTCGAGCTCGAGCTCGATTTTGACTCGACCGGCTCAAGCTCGAATTGAGCCGCCCGCGAGCCGATTCGTTTGCACCCCTAGCCCCGGTCCAATAAGTTGTGTGGTTATCACTATCACCTTAAGTAATCAGTGTTAACTACTTGTTAAACTGTCAATATTTGTTATTAATGGTTTCTTAAATTGTTGATAGTCGACCAAATTGACCGTATCTTGCAAATAAATTTGGAGTAGATTTTTAATGGCGTGCGTTGCCCTCTTGTGAAACTTGACACCTAATTTCTTAGCATGTCCCTCTCGGATTTATAAAATTTCCATTTCTTGCATTTATGATACCGAAGGATGTACAAACTTTGTTAAACCGAAGGGACATGCAAATAACCACCGGCCTTTGGACTAATGGCCACCACTAAACTATTAAAAGTTTGGTGGAATGGGAGGCAAGGGTTCAAATTGTCATATTAAGTGGTTTCTTAAAAAATTCAGATAGGTGCATAGTACACCTGTCTGATACAGTGGTGGTTCAGTCTCTACCGATCCTTAGACCCCAGTTGAATCTCTCCTTAGATTAGAATAATGTAGGATACTATAGATAAAGTGATGATTGACAAAAAAAAAAAAAAAAAAGGAAGACAAAAAAAAAAAAAAGGAATAAGAGACACGCAAATGGATTTCATATGCAACAAGTAACCGTTATCTTATTCATTATAGCAACATAAAAATGAAGCAAAAATCGGGACGATAAATTTGTAAATGGTAACGGGAAATAAAAACAATAAAAGTAAAGCAAGAAGAGAAAAGAAAAAAGTCGCACTCATGGGTTTATGTTGTCTGATATTTCTCTACCATGGGATGTAATAAATTGTTTAACAAACATCAAGATAAGAGAAATAAGTGCAATTTTGAAAACATAAAGGGAGCTATATGAAATTCTCGTAAACATTCAAAAGGTTTGTGAATTTATTTCTCCATCAGTTCGGTTGACTTGACTAAATTGCATTTCAAGGTTCCTACACCAACTGGGAACATACAAGGAGAAGAAAACACAGCCTTCTTTTGGATATATAGCAGTAGAATTGAAAAATACTAGGCCCAAGTATCGGGCCTAGACCCAAACATTCAAGCCCTAGTGTAAAGTTAGACTTCAGGTCACAAGGGACAGTGGCACCAGCTACAAAAATCCATTAAGGTCCAAGGTCTATCTGAGGTCATGATAGGAGAATGAAGTCAACTTTTATATACATACTAAATTTTTTTTTTTTTTAGGGTTGGAAAGCTAATTCTCATAATTTTATCTCTCTAAAAAGTTTAATAACTTAACTTTTGAAACTTTCCTAAGAAATAAGACTTGCCTGTCACAGGTTGAACTCAAACAAGAAAAAAGTAAAACGACATCGAGCCAATTTCTAGCATCAACAAAACTTGTGATCCTGTAGAGGAGGGAGATATGCACTCAAAGTAAAATAGGTATGCACACAACATTTGATCCATTTTGAGTACAAGGTTTGAAAAATTTATGTGAAACATTAGCATAACATTGTAATTGAATTGATGGTATTCTTTTTTTTTTTATCGTTCCATCCTTCTCTACGCCTTTCCTATCTCCAACTGTCAGTAATTTATTTATGAAAGGTAGGCAGAGAGAACTCTAAAAATCGTCACATATTATGTGTCGAAATAGGACTGTTTTTATCTATTAAACTGAGATTTCATCTAATCATTATTTAGCATTAGTTGTATTGTTATTCTTTTCTTCTTGACTTTGACCAGATCTTGAATTGAGGGACTGCAATGTAAATCAGCAGATTCATATCCCGTTTATTGACTGCAAGCAACATAAAAATCAAAATATCATGTAGATTCCTAACGTTTAGTTGAACTAATGTTCTAAATGTTAAACAAACACCAAACATGCCAAAAAAAAAAACTCAAGGAAAAAAGAAACACTTCTTTTTTAAATCAAGAAACAATTCCTTCATTTTTTTTGTTTTTTGGTAATTTAGCAAGAAAAAAATTCCTATGCCTAACAACTCTTTCTAGGACCCAATATATATATTGTTCTCCAAAGTTGTGTATCATCCATCAGGCTATTGAAGGCCATATATGGTATCTATTCAGACATGAATCCTCAGCAGGAATGCAGAGAACTAATCAAATCAGAAACAACGAAAAAGTAGTTTCTTGGTCGAGTAGATATGATAAAATTTGAGAACCAACTGTCAAGGCATAGAAGAAAATTAAAAGCAAAAGAAATTACAGTAAAAGAAAATCGATGGACAATGAATATTTAAGAGAAGACAATAGAATTTGATGAGATTATCTTGCTTCCTACTTTCAATGTAAAAATCCATAAGACTGCAAAACTAAAAAACTATAAGAATTCAAGCACTAGAAAAAAAAAACTAAATACTACACCGATAAACATCAAAAATTGCCATGTTGATTACAGAGACAAAGCAGCACTACTAGGGCTAGAACTGCTGACTGAGATTGCCTCAGTCCTTCCACCGTTCTGAGGTTTGCTTTTCTTGATATTCTTGATCCCTTTGGCCTTTGCTGTTACCTTTCTTCTTGATTTCTTGACCCCGATCAGGCTCAACTCGGACTCTTCTTTTTTCTTTGTTTCTTCGTCTCCAAGTAACGTCCCTGTCGGTATCTTACCCTTGCCCTTGTCCTGCAATGGAGGAGCTAGAGAAAGATCACATCCATCACCATTATCATCCCTACGCAACAAATCAAGCCGTGGCGGCTCAAGCCTCGATTTCTTACATTGGTTCTTTCCACAGGACGAAATAATTCTGGAAAATATATCGTACTCCCGGGTTTGCAACACCTGCTGCAGTGGGCAGGAGAGCGTACTTGATTTGGAGCAGCATCTTGATCATGACTAGCTGGACCGTATGTTGTAGGTGGAGGAGGGCGGGGGCTGCGAGTACTCAGTGGAGCCAGTGGCAGAATCAGATCAAGGGGAGGGAGTCCTTTACTCGCCATTGGAGAAGCCAATCAAGAATCAGAATGGAAAAAAAAAAATTCTCGTAAAACAACTTCAGGGTTTCTTGATTTTTAGCCAGGCAGATTGATGCAAACGACAATGTAGTTACTATATATATAGAAGAAGATCAATGCAATTTCTAAACTTGGTCCTGGTGTGAAAGGAGATTCATTCTTTTTGGAAAGGTGATCTAATCAGAAAATGTTTAGGAAAATGCCTAATAATCTCGCGTTCTTCGATTCCTGATTAGAATGGGACAGGCTACGCTTTTTTCTAAAACTTGTCCGTTCAAATTATTATTATTTTCAACTTTCAAGCAATGCTAATTCGGGAGTTGAGTGTAATTTTTCAAACTCATTGGTAGTTTTGCGCAATTGTCATAAATCCATTTGTGAAATTATCCCGTGCCAAATTCATTACTAAAATGCATTCAGAATGACGAAAAGTTGTGTCAATCAACAGTAGGAAGAATGTCTAAAAAGGATTATATTACAATTTATTATAAAGGATACTTGAATTAATTTCTCCGTAGAATGTACATTTTTCAGGACTATAGCATATTTTATAGAAAAAATAAATACAAATATCCCTAATAAACATATCAAAATTATGCACTCTCTACTAATAATTTCTTTTCTTTTTTATGAAGAATTATGAATTCTATGGTGAACCCCTTTTAGAAACCAAAACAACTCTCCATGAAAAATGTTAATTGCTATAAACCATCAAACTATAATTGATAGCAGTTTGTACTCCCAAATTATAATTACTAGTGCTCAATACATACCAATATGTGCGCACTAAAAAATACATAATATTTATGGTCACATATTTTAATTAAAATTTTTATTACTGAAGAAAGGATAGTGATGTTGAAAACATATATTTAAATAATTAAAAGTAAAAATAGTCATGGGTAATTATAGGTAGTTAAAATAAAAGTAATCTATACATTAGTAGAAAGGAAGTTCATAAAATAAAAATAAATGTTAACCCCACATCCTTTTCTCAAACTTTATATGTAGTATAGATAATACTTATGTACATTAACATAACCAATTTACAGCTTAGTAATTTAGAGTACAAATGAAAATAAATAGTAATTAAGAGTTGCATATTGAGTTCAACAAACAAATCATTCTCTGCTAATGAATCATTCAGACAAATTAGACCTATAACCATAAATATATTATATTTCATTATTATGTTTGGAATAATGATATTTTTTTAGACATAATTTGTCCTGATGTTATAAAACATTGGAGAGTTTATGATACAAAAAAAAAAGAGAAAAAATGATGTTAGGAGATAAAATGCAAAATACGTTATATCTTTTTTTAATAGGAAACACGCCATATCTTAAGGGCATTTATACTAATTAATCTTTAGAGGTAATAATTTTTTTTTTGTTGACATTGCCATTATATAACAGTTAGAGTTAGACTAATGATTTTAGATAAAGTAAGAAAAAAATAATGTGAGAATATAGTGTGTAAAATTGGCCATATACCTGAGGCTGAGTTTTTGTAATTTAGCCCTTGAACTTAACTACAATTATTAAAAACCGAAACTATAGAATTCGATTTAAAATTGCACATCCACCAGCGGCTTCTAGAGGGACCAAGAACCCAGCACCCGAAAGCTAAAAGACGTAAAATCTCGAGAGCAATGGAGACTGATGAGATAGAGGAGAAACATTCGTCGGACTCAAACGAACTGGGAAGAATTCAAGACTACGTTTTGAAATCCCTACTTAGCGAAGGCAGCAGAGGATCAGTGTCGAGGGTGTGGAAGGCGAGGCACAGAGAAAGCGGGCAAATAGTTGCTTTAAAGCAAATCCAACTCTCAAAGCTTACCCGCAGCCTCAAGAACTGCTTGGACTGCGAAGTCAACTTCTTATCCTCTGTTAATCACCCAAATATCATCCGTCTTCTCGGTGTTTTCGAGGTTTGTTCAAATGGGTTCTGCTCATTTTCTTGTAATTGTGATCAGTTCTTGAGTTTCATAGCCTTCTTTTGAAGAGCCCATTTTGCTTTGTATTGAAATCCATTGTGAAATCAACTTTTTTCCCCTCTGATAATCACCTTATATTATTCATTTTCTCGGTTCTTTGGAGTTTGCTCAAATGGTTTCTGTTTTTTCTTATAATTTGTACAGTGTCTCGAGTGTTATGGCTTTTTTTTTTTCTTTTTAACACCGCCATTTTGCTTTGTATATTGAAATTAACTCTGAATTCAAATTCTTATCCTCTGTTACTCACCCTGTATCATTCGTCTTCTAGATGTTTTTTATGTTTGCTGCGTTCTGCTCATTTTTCTAAGTCACTATGGCCCTTTGATCAGACCAATTTGCTTTATTTTGAGATTACTTTGATTGATCGTGAAATTGGATAATTGTATAATATTAAATTAATATAACGACTCCAAGTTTGATGGTGTAGATGTTTTATGTGTGTGGGATTAATCGTCGAATAAATTATGCTTGTGATTTCTTGTCAAGTGTATGGAATCTGCTCTGCTGTAAGCTGAAATGTAGCTGAAGTTTGCTTAGTTTATACTAATTTTAATCCCAGAGTGTAGGAAGTCCCATTTAATTCTCTGACTTTCATTTTTGGCATCTAAACTTAAAGTTGGAGTACTCCATAACATGGCCTTAAAGTTTTACAGATAGGTGAGTTCAAAATTGCTCAACCATCGGTGAATTGTTGATAAACAGAATTGCAGAAGGATTCCTAAGAAGAAATAGCAAGAAATAACAGATTATTTGTCTGAAAAGTAGGAAAGTAGAAAATTTGACACATTTGTGATGCTAGGTTCCTGTTTAATTTGCTTTGTTGGTTAACTTCTTTTTTTATAATTCTTGTTCCTTGTTGCATGTCACCAAAGTAATTTCAATCTGACTAGATTGTATTACGATAAAATTTTTTGGCATCATTAACTAATTTTAGCGTTCTGTTTTGGGATGTGACACCATGTTCATCATGGTTCATGACAATTGCTTCTATTACCGTTGCATGACACCAGCACACTCTCCTTCTCAAACTATGCTGCCACTGGATTTAGCTGATTGCTACAAAAAATTAGTGACAATCTACGGAACAATTTTTTCGGTTGCCAAATCAAATTGTCATAGTTGTTCATCTGTGCCGTTTGTGCACTCACAGCTGACTGAGACTTTGAGTTTAATTTTTCACCCGATAACCAAAATCCCCTGTTTTAACCGATATGCTCTGAAATTTAAGCTGACAGCTTTTTTATATTATTTATTTTTTGGATATACATTTGGGTCTATTAGCTCTTGAAATTGAGTGTGATGATGGACTACTCCTTTGATGTGATAATGTGTGGTAAGGGTTGAGATTCTGGTTTTGTTGTTGATGAAAATATAGCTCTTATTACATTATTTAAGTAATCATGCTGGCCATCACCTTGGTAGCTTTATGTCATGACTTTTATGAGCTAGGTTGGCTCTCACGTCCACTTAATTAGTACTATGAAATTGTTATTGCTTGATTGGATGACATAATATGTCTGTAAGTCAACTCGCTGGCACATTTATCTCAATGGATGTGGCTTGATTTATTTACTATTGATGTAGCTATATTGTGTATGAGAATTTGGACTCTTCCATCATAGCACTCATTCTACAACTATCTAAGACAATCATTTTTGTGTCATTTAATACTCAGAATTAGGGAAATCTAGGACATAGACTGTTTCCAGTCAAATGCAATTTAGATGAAAGCATTTAAGATTAAATTGAAAACATGTTAGTGTAGGATCTTTCATTGCTCAGGATTTCAAGAGCTTGAAAGTTGGATATGGCAGTCTTCCAGTATCATGGTGATAATGAAATTTTCATTTCTTTTCTTCCACAAAAAAAGTGAACTCCAAGAAAGTGATTTGCAATTTCCTTCTAATCACCTTCTCAAGGACAGTCAATGGACGTCTTTCAGGCTGAAGGCAGCATTTTTCTCATCCTGGAGTTTTGTGCTGGGGGCAATCTCGGTGCTTATGTCCGGAATCATGGTAGAGTGCAAGAATGCATAGCTAAAAGATTCATGCAACAGATTGGTAATGTTTCACTCAGAAAATGGCATCAGACTTCTTCATTTTCAGCAACTACACTATTTGCCTCATTTAATAATTTTGTTCCAGCTGCTGGATTAGAGGTGCTGCATTCACACCTAATCATCCACCGTGACTTGAAGCCAGAGGTATGAATTTTTTACCTATTTTGGTTAAGGTATCTATAAGCTTCCCTCACAGTGCAGCCACGAGTACATTTATACTTGTTTTATCTACGAAATGCTGCATCATAGGAGAGTGGTCTCTCTCACTGTCCAATCCTTTGACGACATATGTTCATTTAGCATGAAACTATGTTGTCATAAATAAACAATTGAAATAATGCTAATTATGCTGTTCTGTTTCTAAAATTTGGAAGTTTAGAATCTCAAATACCTCAAGCAAAGCAGGCTCTGAACTTACATAGTAAAAACATCTAATGCATGAAAGTCTTTCTGGTTTGGCATCTTCCATTTATAAAGAATGTTATAAAGAAAGCATGCCTAATACGCCCATAGTTGCATATCTGAGCATGTTCTTATAGCTATTAGACAGTTAGGTGAACACAAAGTATGTTAGTCACTGATGAGGGAAAAGCTTTGCATATGGTATAAGGTGATCACTTGTATTAATTTGGTTGCCGGTGTCAGCACACTATGACGAGTCTTTCCCAATTTCAAACTTGTGCTATCTCTTGTTGCTTTTGTCTTTCCTTCAGTAATCTTTCTCAATAGGATGGAATGGATTATTTCCTCTGTTTTTTCCTCTTAACATTGAAGGCTAAAATTTTCATCATATTTCCTATCAGAATTTTGACTTTCTGATACAAATTTTTTTTTTGGGTGTTGTTTTCTTTGGCTTAGAACATTCTGTTGTCAAGCTCTGATGGTGATGCTCTGCTGAAAATTGCTGATTTTGGACTCTCAAGGTAATAGTTGACTAACACGTAATAGCTTTTGAATTTTCATTTGACAGGAGGACAATGTAATAAAATTGTTTGTAATGATCTCAATGCCTTTTCCTGTTGACAGAATTTTGCACCCTGATACCTTTGCTGAGACAGTCTGTGGGTCTCCATTATACATGGCTCCAGAAATTCTTCAATTTCAAAAATATGATGAAAAGGTTGGAGATCTTTCTACTACTATTTTAAATGTGCTAGAGAGATGTTGCCAGCATATCCAATAGAACTATCGAGAACTCATACAATCATGAGTACAGATTGAGACACGATTTGATTTAAGCTTTCTTCATAGGTTGACATGTGGAGCATTGGTGCAATTCTTTTTGAACTTCTTAATGGCTACCCTCCTTTTCATGGTAGGACTAGTGTTCAGGTAACTCCTTTATCTAAATTGAATAGCCGTCTCAGTAGCTCCTCGTGCACCAATTATATTTGGATGATGCAGCTTTTGCAGAATATCAAGGAATCTTCATATCTTCCCTTTTCTCAGCTGGTTCTTTCTGAGTTGCATCCGACCTGTGTTGATTTATGTTCTAGACTGTTGTCTGTCAATCCAGGTTTGGATCCTACCTTGATTAGGATTTCATGATTTTCCTTTCTTTTCAGAGAGCAACGCTGAAATTTGGTTATACCTGCAGTTTTTAGTATTCCTTTGTATTCTGTCTATGCAGAGACCCGGATGTCCTTTGATGAGTTTCATGAGCATGACTTTTTGGAAATTCAGAAAGTGGAGAGATAAAAGCCAGCAATAAGTGGTTTCATTCTAAATCACCATTGAACTGTCTTAGTGATTTATAGCTTTGTTTGTAAATCATCTCAATGTTGGTGACCAGGTTTCTATATGTTGATGTCATTATGATGGGTTGTCTGCCAAGATCTCAGTTGTGAAGCTGCCATTTCCTGAGTGTGAAAAAAATATTAACTCAGCTGCATTCCTCTTGTCAGTGGATCGTTCTTGAATTTAAAGCTTCTATAATGAATACTGTTGCTCCAGCTTTTCAGGCTAATGGATAACATTCTTCCTTGATTAAGTCTGCCTGTTCTCCTGAAATCATATACCTTCTCCTTGACATAAATGACTAGTAGAGTACAAACCAGCTATGACAATCCGAAAGCTTACTTTCAGTCTGCCACACCACAGCTGATTGGATGAGTTTTTCTATCATATCAAGACTTGGTTTAAAATTGGCTTCATTTGGCATCTCAAATGTGGATAAAGTAGTTCTGAGTTACGGGTTGATAGCCAGAATGAGGTTGGCTATGTTTTGCCTTTTATGACACCAATTACCTGTTCTTTAAATAGTTATCCACTATAGTATTTTAAATAGTTATCGATGAGTTTTAATAAAGTCTCTTGCCACAGTTCCCAGTCAAATCATCACTCCCATGGATGAGAATATGCAGTGCACTAATTTGGCCTGCCCAGTGGCTATAGTGCTTTTACGGGAATGGAGAAGATTTCATGTGCCTTTCGCATTGAAGATCAGCTGCAATGTTAGATGGTAAGTTGACAAATCATATTCAGTCTTCTTTGCTTAGGTTTGGTACACTTCTTTTGCTTGTTTGTGATACAATTTGGCAGATGGCAGCTCACAGGGAGGGTTAGGCTGCCTGTAGTTGAACTGGACTCAATTACCCCGATATGCCTGTGGATTCATGTTCTAGCATAGGCGCCCTGCAAGGAAGCTTCAAAAAACAACACAAGATTGCAAGTTCAGGAATACTGTTCCAATATCTAGAAACGCTGCTGTACTTGTTCTGGTCTCATTTCAGTATAGAAACGCTGCTGTACTAATTCTTTGTCAGACGCACAAGCCTTTTACTACTAAACAACTCTCCTGGGAATTTGAATTTGCTTATTCTGGTCTTTCCTCGATTTATTTCAATTCTTTTCAGTTGAATGGCAATTTTTTTTTAAAGGAACAGGAAGAAGTCAAAGTGCAATATTGAAATGAGTGAAGCCGTTATAGAGATGTCTCTGGTAGTTCATCTATTGCCTCAACAGTTCATTGAAGATGAGTTGATTACCTTGTGTGGCTGGATTCTATTCATTGCTTACGCAGAATTCAACAAATAAAATGAGGTGAGTTACAAAAGAATTGGTGAAAATGAATTCCCTTTCATCTTCATTAAAATGGGGGAGGGGGAGAGTGGAACAAAGTAAAACTCATCGAAACTTGTTGTCTCCTGTTGCCAAGACATGATTCAGCTGGCAATCTTCAAATCTAAGCATTAGGTTCCCCTTTTCTTCCCTAGGTCAGCCAGCAAGAACTTCCTTGTATCTATTGCATTTTGAGGCGCCAAATGATAATTTTTCTTTGCGAGCCTTTATCAGCTCCAAGGCCAAGCTGCATTTCGACTCCTTACTCGAACCTGTGCATCCACTTTACATCATTCCAAGATTGATTATCTATTGGTTTTCTGTAGGTTGATAATGAACCTGTAACATTTCTTGAGGCCCCAGCCTTCTGCTTATTAGAACAGTCTGCAATTACATCCCTGTATTTCATCACCTTCTCGGGCACCTGGTGGCGTTCCTGGACGGATCATCTGCCGGCGCTTGGTAGCTTGATGAAGCAGAATAACCTTTAAAGACATCTTTTGAGGAGCACAGCCCCGTCCCCTGCTTCGTCCAACTCCATGGCCCGTGACTTCTGGCCAATAACTTCTTTCTAATCGCTTTGGATTTTAGAGATTCACATCTGAGTGCCTGAAAGTAGGGATGTATGCAAGTCGAGCCAATATCAAATAGCTTGCGAGTAACTCGGTCAATGACTTGGCTTGAACTCGATCAAATCGAGTTCGAACCGAGTCTCGAGCTACTTTGGGCAAAAAAGTAATAACATAATTGTAAAAGATCTAAAAAGAAAAAATGCTGGGAAAAAGCAAAGAAAAGCTTCAGACTTTAGTTTCTCTTCCTCCCTTCTTCTCTGTTCGAACGAGTGACTTCTAAACCCTACCTCCGTTACTCTCAAGCCGTTGCTCGCCGCATCTGTCAGCCTCCATCGCCATCGCTTTTCTGGTTACTGGTATGTCTGCCTCTGCTCTAATGTGCATTTCCAGTTCTATTTCCATTTCCCCCTTCATTCATCTTTGCTTCCCTCTCTCTCTCTATGGCACTATGGGTGTGGGGACTGGGGACGGGGAATGGGAAGTAGTAGTATGATTGATTACTGGGTCTGGGAGTAAATCCAGAAGCATATTAAATTTGTTTTCCTGTCAGCCTCCATCGCCATCTAGATCTGATGAAACACTTCTGCTTTAATTTGTTTTCCTTTTTTGTCTTTTTTGGCCTTTTTTATTAGGCATGCGTAAGTGTAACAATGAATACGAAAGCTGTGTGGAATTTTTTTGCCTCTTTTTTGCCTTCCGCATTTGAATGGTATGCTGTGTGGAATTTTTCGTAAAAATGCCACGCAATTGGCTAAAGTAGGACACGGTTCTACTAAATTGGACTTCAACTGAATTGGCAACCTTTGTCAAAAGTGGTTCAATCAGAAGGAAATTGCTCACAACCCTTTTTTTCAAAAAAAAAAAAAAAATTTGAAAACACACTCCATCATCTTCACATGGCTCTAGAATCTAATTATTGCTCTCTTTGTGCTAAAGAATAAATTCTAACTTCTAAGAGCAGATTTCTAAAACCCCAAAATAAAAATTGTATAGATATAAGGCGTAACCTGTCAATCCTGGATGTTAAAAAGAAAGAAGGAAGAACAATTTGAGTATTTCGTAGTAGCCTGGATTTAATGACTTGATATGGAGAGTTAAACAAGCATCACTAGAATTGTTGTGTGTAATTTGTTAGAAATGCCTTTAAAACAAAACACACTCGGTATAATTCCACTAAACTCCACAAACTTCATCCCACTTTATATAATTCCTCTAAAGTCCCTAGATCACTTGCATTAAGAGACTAAAGCTCAAAAAGCTTGATTATGTTCGACTTGATAAGGCTTGACTAAAGGTCGAGCCTTATCGAGTCGACTCTCGAGTTTAAAAGAATTTTCTAGAGTCAAGCCTCGAGTTACGATTTTTAAACTTGGTCGAGCTCGAGCCGAACTCGAGTCTAGGTACATATAGGTCGAGTCGAGCTCGAGTATAGCACTATTTGAGCTCGACTTGGCTCGAATACATCCCTACCTGAAAGTAAAGGGTGGAAGTACTAATAATATATAGGGAGAAGGAGATTGAATAACCATGAAAATTAGGAACCAAGATTACGTAACTTACAAAAGCATAGTGTAGAATCGTAATCAGGATTCCCGAGATCTGTGTAGATCGGCAATCATTGTTACAAGCTTCCTGCACGAAATAAGAAACAAAGCTCGGGAATTAAGCCCCGGTTAAGGTCACAGGATTGCAATTACCTTCGAAATCGATGGAAAGGGGGTAACTATAAATACCTGCAATAACTTGCGAAATGTCATGTCAATCACTTCTTGGTCTTAGAGATACCTGGCTACCGAGACCTAAGTTATAAGTTAACTTGATGAGATTGGAAAGTCTACGGAAACAAGGGATCATCTCGAAGATGATCTCGGGTACTACACAAAGGATTTATAGCATTCATATGTTTCTTTAAAAGTTCATGTATTACTTATGGGAACCAGAGCCCTAAAATTTCTACTTGTTTTTTTTTTGGGTAAATAAAGCAATGAAATTTTGGAGTTTTTGTAAGTCATGATTACAATTCAGTTCTTTCTCAGGTTAATATGAAACTTTTTCATTCACATGTAATTCGTTCCCTATATATTATTTATATTCACGTAGGTATCATTGTTTAAAACGTGAAATATTAGCCCAATGAAACTGTATAAAATGGTCAAGCGTCCAAAAAGATGGGTTCTTATACGCCAATAATGACAAGCGTGTTTAAGTGCACAGGGATAGTACGAAGCAAATCGATTTTCTTTGGATCAAAAGATAAAAAAATCACTCGTGACAAATCTAATACATAGAAAAATTTCATGATTTCATAAAGGTGACGGAATCCGCTAAAATTAATAATCATTTTCACAAATTAGTTCAAAATATGAGACATCATATTGTACGTTTTGAAATCACGAAAATTTTTCTGTACTTTGATTTACCACAACGACTTTTTGTTTTTCAGTATCCATTTTCTTTTGGGATTGCCGTATCCGAAACTTGTCCCACATCGGCCTGTTGGATAAGCTTTAAGCGCGTTGTAATTTCTAGTGGTCGCCACCGTTGGCCGTGTTCATAAGAAGGAGAGATGGTTGGCATCTCCCCGACAGGGACGGGAACGGCCTTCGGGCCTTAACTGTTACCAACACATCCGGTTAAGGCTTCCCGCTTCGGTGGATCTATAACCCAATTTTTTTTTACCGTTTTACCCTTGAATTTGTCTGTCTCCTCTCATTTTATCAAAGTGTTTTGAGTTAATTAATAAATCATTTACACATTTTTTAATTTTTTCTAAATCGATGGCTTGATAACTAAAAAGATACAACATGCTAAATTTTATATATAAACTTGTTTTTTATTATTTTTAAGTTAGTCCAAAAAGATATTCTCATGGTTATAAATTATTGCAAGTCATTTTTAAGAGTAATATAAATCATTCATAATTTTAGGTAATTTAACCTATTTTATCTGAAGCAGTGACACAAAAATTGTTAACGAGACATTGATCAATTTGCAAAAGTTAAGTAATAAATTTGGCATATTATGATAATTAAGAAATCATAAGAAAAGGGCCAACTTGGAATCAGATTGTATTCACTCTCCCAAAATGAATTTTTTAATATTATATTTCGAAATGAGTTTCAAATGTTACACAAAGTTTAAATCTGGGGAGTTAAGTGAGATTTTTAAAAATTTAATAGTGTTAAGTGAAACTATTAGAAACCTTAATGGAGGTTTCTAAAATCATCTCTTTTTGTTATTTATTAACGGACATGTTATTCAATTCCCTACCCTTGAATAATCATCTGGTCTGGTTCCCTTTCTCATTTGCTATATTTTTTGGATTCCTTAATTTTTTATCATTTCCAATTATTTTTACCATTCTACCTTTAGATTTGTCTATCCTCTCATTTGTCTCCATTTTATCCTCTGATTCGTCCATCCTTTCTCATTTGTTAAATTTCTTTTTTGTGATTTCTTAATGTGTACATCTTATTCAATTCCCTACCCTTAAATAATCATTTGTCGCCCTTTCTCATTCGCTATATTTTTTTTGGATTTCCTAAAGATTCAATTAATTTTTTCTTTTCCCGTTTTACCCTTGGACCTCTCTGTCCTTTCTCATTTGCTATAATTTTCTGATTTCTTAATTAACAACTGTTATTCAATTCTCTACCCTTAAATAATCATTTTTCCCATTTCGACCTCTAATACATGTCCAAATATGCTGTATGTAGGACTCCCAATCTATTTAAGATTATGAATGTATATTTCACGCCCTTACAAGCGTGACGTGATTGAGAGTTGGCATTGAAATATAAGAAAGCGTGACAGGAGGTTTGAATATACTCCTTCCGTCTCAATTATTTAGTTATGTTTCGGAAATCTAATATTTTAAAAATTATGATTTAATTATGATGTTTATATATATTTTTTAATTTTATTTTCATAAATTCAAAATTTAAATGATAACATAAGGGTGTTTTGACTTTTTTAACGTGACAAATATTTTAAGACATTTCAAAATAGGAAGTAAGGCACTTTCGACGGAGCATTACAAAATACTTATAGTTCTTGTAAGGGCGAACAAAGATAACATGGCGGCGTAGGGGCTTCTTCATTTTATCTTAATTTCATCTCAAAAACATCGATATTAGGGATTTCTGTGCATGGATTTCTACTCATTTTGCTTCTAATAGTTGGTTGAAATTTCTACGGGGGAAGGTAAAATTTTGTCTGATGCTGTAATTATGCAATTTTTGGCTCAATTATTGGGCTGCTGATTATTGAAGTAGGTTATGTAGTAATGCATCTTAGGTGTTTGATTATTTGCCCCAGTCAACTGCTATAATATACTTGTACTAATTTTTTATTCGCTGATGTTTGTAAATGGGTTTTTGCTCTATATGCATAATTTGTTGTGATTTAACTGTAAATTTCGGGTGCTGTTGGTTTAATTTGTGCAGTCTTTAGCACAACAGATGAGGTATTAAAGCATCGCAGGTGCTTGATTATTTGCAGCAGTTAATTAAATTATTTTTACTTAGTTATTACACTGGGATGATTCTGATTTTTGAGCTGTAACTATACTTTTCAGAATCTGTATAGTAGGAAGAATAAGTTGATACATTCCTGATTTTTCGTAATAATGATCTCCAAGAAAACCTTGTGCGCTCCATTCTTTATCCCTGGCCCTGTGACTGCAATTACGTCCATTTTATTAAAATATTATGTCAACATGATGGAAATTATCTAATGATTTGTCTGTTCTCTGAGAATGAGAATTTGAACTTCTACTGTAATGGTATCAGTTTTGGAGTTTATTGACCTGATGATTATTAGTTAGTAAGAATAAAACATGACAATCTTGAAATTCCTGAACCCTCTTACTGGCTTTAAATTTCACTGGTTGCTGAACTTTTTGTATGATTTGCACTTGAGCAGTTCTTTAATTGTTATAGTGCTACATGAACCTCAGTGGCAGTTTTGTTTATTGTTTTTTTTTTCTTTTTACGAATAATACCTTTTGGAATCTGGAAGATGCTTGGTCATGAACCATAATTCATTATTATTTGAACTATAAAGAGAAAAATCCGCCAACACCCTCCTTGTACCTGTAAGGGGAGCTCCATTAGTAATCTAGGCTCTGAATTTGACGTATAAAGATTGTGATTTTGACATCCTAAATTTGTTTTCTAGTCCCAAATTTCACACAACGATGTGTGCTTTTTTGTACGTAACTGTATTGCTTTGCAGTTGTAAAACAAAATTTTAATTGTTGCTGTTCCAATTTGGAGTCTCTTATTATTGCAGATCTCATTGATCTGTTTCCCTGCGTTTTGCTTGGAGTGTGGTTGGTTTGGATTTCTTGCTTTGACCCAAATAGTCCACGCAAAAGGAGGTTAGGCAGAAGAAATGCTGCCTGCTAAATCCCTCCCTCTCTCCTCCGCTTTGATAAAGGCACCCAAATCTCCTGGTGCTAATCTCACCTCAACAAACTGCATAGGCATCAACAAATGGATTGAAAAAGTATACCAATCCTTCTCTTAGTTTTCGGAGCTCCTGCCACGAGACTTCATCAGAACCTGTAGTTGTACCTGAAACACGTTCCATATCAGCACAAAAAGAGTCAATATCCTTCCGGAGGCGCTGCCTTACATAGAAAAGTTCCATGGCAAGACAATTGTGGTCAAATATGGAGGTGCAGCCATGAAGTCTGAGGCCCTTCAAGCTTCTGTAATGTCTGACTTGGTTCTTCTCTCTCGTGTTGGTCTTCGCATTGTCATGGTCCATGGTGGGGTCCTGAAATCAACCAGTGGCTTGGTAGGTTGGGCTGAAGCCCAAGTTTGTGAATGGAAGTCGTGTCACTGATGCAACAACCATGGAAATTGTTTCGATGGTATTGGCGGGTAAAGTGAACAAACATCTTGTTGCCTTAATCAACAAGGCAGGGGCTTCTGCCGTTGGCTTATCTGGTATGGATGGCCGTCTTTTGACTGCCAGGCCTTCCCAAAATTCTGATCAGCTTGGCTTCGTTGGTGATATAGCCACTGTGGACCCCACAGTGCTTCGACAACTCATTGACAATGGTCATATCCCAGTCATTGCCTCTATAGCTGCTGACAAGACAGGCCAGTCATACAACATCAATGCAGACATAGCTGCGGGTGAGGTTGCTGCGGCCTTGGCAGCAGAGAAGTTAATTCTTTTGACTGATGTGGCTGGAATTCTAGAGGACCAAGGTGACCCAGGAAGTTTGGTGAAGGAAGTAGATATCCAAGGGGCGAGGAGGATGATGAATGATGGGAAGATTGCAGGTGGGATGTTTCAAAAGGTGGATTGCTGCGTGAGGTCCGTAGCTCAAGGTGTCAGGACTGCAACTATACTTGATGGACGAGTACAGCACTCATTACTCCTTGAGATTCTCACTGATGAAGGAGTAGGAACAATGATCACTGGATAAATTGGAGAGCTTGCACACTGTTTAAAGCTTACATTTGTTAACCACTTTAGAAGATATTCAATCTAAAATGGCAATCTGGAAATATAGCTTGCAGTGCTTGAACAGCCAATGAAGAAAAAAGTTCTTCACTTGTGAGTTTCAGTCCTTAAGCTCTTGAAACTATTCACATGTTTCTGCTAATAGTGGTTGGGGTAAATCACTTCTGTGGCTAGATTGGTTCTGCTTTTTGGTTTTCAGTTTCCTCCCTCCTTTTAGGTGCGCAGTGCTCTACGTGCCTGATAATTCTACCATATACCCTTTTTGTAGCTTATGTTCGGTTATACTATATACTAAATATTTTATTTGCTATTGAGCTTCTTTATTTTTTTTCTTTTGTTTTTTTCCCCTCGAGTTGTTGCATTTTAGCTGCATTTCCTTGGAATGTAAGAAATCTAGCATCGCTTTGGATCTTGTACAAGTCTTGACAATAGATTGATATATTTGTGTTCTGTCACTCATGGAAATTAGTTGACACAACTCTGACTGTTCAATCATTCCCTGTAGCTGTTAACCTTAAAATCAACCATGTCTTGAGATTTTTCAACATTAAGTAATAAATATGTTTGTTAGAGCAAGTTTAGTTACAATCATCTTGTATTTTCTTTGTACATATGTTACCTCCATGGAATTTCTTTCGAGCAGATTTTACTTGGGACTTGGTTTTTTATTACTTTTTTTTTTTTTAATTTCTCTTCACATGTTATATTCTAGAAGCAAATTTAAGCAGATTAAGTTCCAACAACCCATCTTGTGACCACATTGTGGTGAGGTCTTCACTGCCTTTAACCTATTGAATTTGCTTTATTGATCTGGAAAAATTAACATTTGTAGCAGTTTTTTTACTCATTTCGGAGGAATATGAGTTAACTTTTGAAGAGATTAACTACAACCATTTGAGAGTTTCTTGAAAAGCTAGTTTACTAAATAAGGTCTGAATACAATCTTGATAGGAACTTCACTATTCTCATCAGTTTGTTTCTTCTTAGTTACGGGAAAAATATGAAAAAGAAACGCTAAAGGATAAATGGACTCTCAAAGTACACTGGGATTATTGTTCAGATATTTGGAGTAGTAACTAAAGGGCTTAAACCAACGTGATGTTGATGCAAGAGTTCAAACATGATTAGTCGCAGATCATAAAACGGATGCAAATACCTGTGCGTTATACCAGAAAAAAAAAGCCTAAAGGGTTTAAAGTCCTAACAAAGAGAATATAGATGGGAACGAACTGCCACTATAGTATGAGGGAGTAAAGTGTACTTCAGTTATAAACTACAAACCTTTTAGAATCTTCTTTAATTTGATTTGATGCTTGTATATGTGGAGCTAAAAGCCATATGGAGAAACTTGAAAAACAATAACACTTGGATAATATCTACTTTCAAGAACATAAATCTGCTGATAAAATTCTCAAAGTTGAGAACGTTTTGGAGCCACTTATTTTCCCATTTTCATTTTGTAGTCACATTCTCCTCTTTCCAATGTGCTTCTGCACTAATTTTCCCCACAACCAACAAAAGGAAAAAGAGTAAAAGCCATCTAAAAGGAAAACAAAGGCAAAGAAGATTCCATTTGCGGCATTGGTCACACCTTGCAACCTAACACCCACTACTAGCATGAAAATTTTTTAATGTATACATATCACTTTCAACTCTTCAATTTCAAATCTTAAAAACAAAACATGGCTATTCACAAGGGGAAAATACACTGTCACACTAGCTTCCAATATATAATATGATCCAAAGTCCAAGGAAATTGATCTAAACCAATTAAAAAGAAGTTGACCTAGCAAGACTAGTGTTGCTTGATGCTGTCGGCACCCAAATGGAAGCGGTGGTCAAAGGTCTTGATTTCCAACATAATGTTAACTTGCACTGTTCATTTTGCACCCAGTAACCCCCATTAAACAAACTGATTAAATGCTTTGCTTGAGTAACATTACAGGAACTCGTAGGAATTGGCCTGAATCCATTCATAGAAGGATAATCTGGCAACATGTTACTTTCATTTCCCATGATCCCACAAGGAAAATGTTTCACACTATCCAAAATTCTCATTCTCAAGAACTCCTTCTCTATGATCTTTAATGCTAATTTGTAACCTGCACAAAAACCACTCCGGAGTGAATCAGAGAGTGCTGTGTAATGATCTAAGGCCTCACAAAAGAACTCCGCAAATGATGTAGATGGAGCTTTAGAGAAGCTGAATAACTCTTCTTGGACTAAAACCAATATCTTTGGGGACAGTTTCCTCAAACCGTTGAAAAATGTTTTGACCAATGAGCTTTCTCTGTAAGGCATATGAAGCTGATTAATCATACAATTAGCTATCAGGGTATGCCCTACTTTGATCTCTTCGAAATCTTCTTCTTTCGTTACCAGAACTTGGTCAAAGGAGAAAGAAAGATTGATTGAATTTGCGAAATCTTGTAATCTAAAACCTGTTTGTTGAATATTGCATGAACTTCTTTTGTCACCAGCAATAGCAGTTATCCTAAGAGATGCGTCTTCTCTAGCAGCAAGGTCAACCATCAAAGAAGGCCATTGAATTCCTTCCATGACGTCAAAATCGATAACATGAATCTCCTGATGACCTTCGTTGCCTCCAGGATTGCCTGGTTGGCTGTGAAATGCGCGAACTTCACATATGGTGACAGCTCCTGCAGCATTTGGAAGGCTGAGATAGCATTGGTTTGTGCGAAACAGGGTCCTCCGGAAGCTCAGGAGCAGTGAGGCTCTTGTCAAGAAGGCCCTGAGTGAAATATAAAGCTAACCTATCCAATGGATTGTCACCATTTTCTTGATCAGATAGGATATCCTTGAGCCTGAGTGCAACTAATGAAGCAAAACGAACATTTCCTGCTTCAATAGCTTCTGCCCCCATCAGCAGCAGATCAGTTAAGCTCTCTCTTCCATGAGTTCATCTTGAATATCCTTCAAATGGGATTGCTCAGCAGCCAAAATATCCATAGTTTCTTGGATTTCTTGACAGGGCAACAATCTTTTGTGTACCACGTTTTCGTGGTCTAAAGCACAATTTTTAGCTCGAAATCCTTGATATCTGTTTCCATTTCAAGAAAGTTTTCGGTGCTAACAATATCATTGGAAACATAATCTTGGAAAGAATAAGGTGGAATCAAATTGTTTTGGAAAGTTAATGCAGTTTCCAAGCTACTACAATGATGATCAATAATGTAGCTTGGCTCAACATCAAAATACATCTTTTCAAACTCCATTACTACAAGTTACTAAGCTAGGAGCCTTTTGAGAGATCAAACCACTGGAAGCCTATATATATATATATATATATATACACAGAAAATAAAATATTAAAGATATTATATATATATATATATATATATATATATATATATATATATATATATATATATATATATTCGAGGCTCGCGAGCTAACGAGCTTAATGTTTTGACCTCGAGCTCGAGCTCGATTTTGACTCGACCGGCTCAAGCTCGAATTGAGCCGCCCGCGAGCCGATTCGTTTGCACCCCTAGCCCCGGTCCAATAAGTTGTGTGGTTATCACTATCACCTTAAGTAATCAGTGTTAACTACTTGTTAAACTGTCAATATTTGTTATTAATGGTTTCTTAAATTGTTGATAGTCGACCAAATTGACCGTATCTTGCAAATAAATTTGGAGTAGATTTTTTAATGGCGTGCGTTGCCCTCTTGTGAAACTTGACACCTAATTTCTTAGCATGTCCCTCTCGGATTTATAAAATTTCCATTTCTTGCATTTATGATACCGAAGGATGTACAAACTTTGTTAAACCGAAGGGACATGCAAATAACCACCGGCCTTTGGACTAATGGCCACCACTAAACTATTAAAAGTTTGGTGGAATGGGAGGCAAGGGTTCAAATTGTCATATTAAGTGGTTTCTTAAAAAATTCAGATAGGTGCATAGTACACCTGTCTGATACAGTGGTGGTTCAGTCTCTACCGATCCCTTAGACCCCAGTTGAATCTCTCCTTAGATTAGATAATGTAGCGATTACTATAGATAAAGTGATGATTGACAAAAAAAAAAAAAAAAAAAGGAAGACAAAAAAAAAAAAAAAGGAATAAGAGACACGCAAATGGATTTCATATGCAACAAGTAACCGTTATCTTATTCATTATAGCAACATAAAAATGAAGCAAAAATCGGGACGATAAATTTGTAAATGGTAACCGGGAAATAAAAACAATAAAAGTAAAGCAAGAAGAGAAAAGAAAAAAGTCGCACTCATGGGTTTATGTTGTCTGATATTTCTCTACCATGGGGATGTAATAAATTGTTTAACAAACATCAAGATAAGAGAAATAAGTGCAATTTTGAAAACATAAAGGGGAGCTATATGAAATTCTCGTAAACATTCAAAAGGTTTGTGAATTTATTTCTCCATCAGTTCGGTTGACTTGACTAAATTGCATTTCAAGGTTCCTACACCAACTGGGAACATACAAGGGAGAAGAAAACACAGCCTTCTTTTGGATATATAGCAGTAGAATTGAAAAATACTAGGCCCAAGTATCGGGCCTAGACCCAAACATTCAAGCCCTAGTGTAAAGTTAGACTTCAGGTCACAAGGGACAGTGGCACCAGCTGTACAAAAATCCATTAAGGTCCAAGGTCTATCTGAGGTCATGATAGGAGAATGAAGTCAACTTTTATATACATACTAAATTTTTTTTTTTTTTAGGGTTGGAAAGCTAATTCTCATAATTTTATCTCTCTAAAAAGTTTAATAACTTAACTTTTGAAACTTTCCCTAAGAAATAAGACTTGCCTGTCACAGGTTGAACTCAAACAAGAAAAAAGTAAAACGACATCGAGCCAATTTCTAGCATCAACAAAACTTGTGATCCTGTAGAGGAGGGAGATATGCACTCAAAGTAAAATAGGTATGCACACAACATTTGATCCATTTTGAGTACAAGGTTGTAGAAAAATTTATGTGAAACATTAGCATAACATTGTAATTGAATTGATGGTATTCTTTTTGTTTTTTATCGTTCCATCCTTCTCTACGCCTTTCCTATCTCCAACTGTCAGTAATTTATTTATGAAAGGTAGGCAGAGAGAACTCTAAAAATCGTCACATATTATGTGTCGAAATAGGACTGTTTTTATCTATTAAACTGAGATTTTCATCTAATCATTATTTAGCATTAGTTGTATTGTTATTCTTTTCTTCTTGACTTTGACCAGATCTTGAATTGAGGGACTGCAATGTAAATCAGCAGATTCATATCCCGTTTATTGACTGCAAGCAACATAAAAATCAAAATATCATGTAGATTCCTAACGTTTAGTTGAACTAATGTTCTAAATGTTAAACAAACACCAAACATGCCAAAAAAAAAAACTCAAGGAAAAAAAGAAACACTTCTTTTTTAAATCAAGAAACAATTCCTTCATTTTTTTTTTGTTTTTTGGTAATTTAGCAAGAAAAAAATTCCTATGCCTAACAACTCTTTCTAGGACCCAATAATATATTGTTCTCCAAAGTTGTGTATCATCCATCAGGCTATTGAAGGCCATATATGGTATCTATTCAGACATGAATCCTCAGCAGGAATGCAGAGAACTAATCAAATCAGAAACAACGAAAAAGTAGTTTCTTGGTCGAGTAGATATGATAAAATTTGAGAACCAACTGTCAGGCATAGAAGAAAATTAAAAGCAAAAGAAATTACAGTAAAAGAAAATCGATGGACAATGAATATTTAAGAGAAGACAATAGAATTTGATGAGATTATCTTGCTTCCTACTTTCAATGTAAAAATCCATAAGACTGCAAAACTAAAAAACTATAAGAATTCAAGCACTAGAAAAAAAAACTAAATACTACACCGATAAACATCAAAAATTGCCATGTTGATTACAGAGACAAAGCAGCACTACTAGGGCTAGAACTGCTGACTGAGATTGCCTCAGTCCTTCCACCGTTCTGAGGTTTGCTTTTCTTGATATTCTTGATCCCTTTGGCCTTTGCTGTTACCTTTCTTTTCTTGATTTCTTGACCCCGATCAGGCTCAACTCGGACTCTTCTTTTTCTTTGTTTCTTCGTCTCCAAGTAACGTCCCTGTGCCGGTATCTTACCCTTGCCCTTGTCCTGCAATGGAGGAGCTAGAGAAAGATCACATCCATCACCATTATCATCCCTACGCAACAAATCAAGCCGTGGCGGCTCAAGCCCTCGATTTCTTACATTGGTTCTTTCCACAGGACGAAATAATTCTGGAAAATATATGGTACTACCCGGGTTTGCAACACCTGCTGCAGTGGGCAGGAGAGCGTACTTGATTGGAGCAGCATCTTGATCATGACTAGCTGGACCGTATGTGTAGGTGGAGGAGGGCGGGGGCTGCCGAGTACTCAGTGGAGCCAGTGGCAGAATCAGATCAAGGGGAGGGAGTCCTTTACTCGCCATTGGAGAAGCCAATCAAGAATCAGGAATGGAAAAAAAAAAATTCTCGTAAACAACTTCAGGGTTTCTTGATTTTTAGCCAGGCAGATTGATGCAAACGACAATGTAGTTACTATATATATAGAAGAAGATCAATGCAATTTCTAAACTTGGTCCTGGTGTGAAAGGAGATTCATTCTTGTTTTGGAAAGGTGATGCTAATCAGAAAATGTTTAGGAAAATGCCTAATAATCTCGCGTTCTTCGATTCCTGATTAGAATGGGACAGGCTACGCTTTGTTTCTAAAACTTGTCCGTTCGAATTATTATTATTTTCAACTTTCAAGCAATGCTAATTCCGGGAGTTGAGTGTAATTTTTCAAACTCATTGGTAGTTTTGCGCAATTGTCATAAATCCCAAGATTTGTGAAATTATCCCGTGCCAAATTCATTACTAAAATGCATTCAGAATGACGAAAAGTTGTGTCAATCAACAGTGAGGAAGAATGTCTAAAAAGGATTATATTACAATTTATTATAAAGGATACTTGAATTAATTTCTCCGTAGAATGTACATTTTTTCAGGACTATAGCATATTTTATAGAAAAATAAATACAAATATCCCTAATAACATATCAAAATTATGCACTCTCTACTAATAATTTCTTTTCTTTTTTATGAAGAATTATGAATTCTATGGTGAACCCCTTTTAGAAACCAAAACAACTCTCATGAAAAGTGTTAATTGCTTTATAAACCATCAAACTATAATTGATTAGCAGTTTGTACTCCCAAATTATAAGTTACTAGTGCTCAATACATACCCAATATGTGCGCACTAAAAAAATACATAATATTTATGGTCACATATTTTAATTAAAATTTTTATTACTGAAGAAAGGATAGTGATGTTGAAAACATATATTTAAATAATTAAAAGTAAAAATAGTCATGGGTAATTATAGGTAGTTAAAATAAAAGTAATCTATACATGTAGTAGAAAGGAAGTTCATAAAATAAAAATAAATGTTAACCCCACATCCTTTTCTCAAACTTTATATGTAGTATAGATAATACTTATGTACATTAACATAACCAATTTACAGCTTAGTAATTTAGAGTACAAATGAAAATAAATAGTAATTAAGAGTTGCATATTGAGTTCAACAAATCATTCTCTGCTAATGAATCATTCAGACAAATTAGACCTATAACCATAAATATATTATATTTCATTATTATGTTTGGAATAATGATATTTTTTTAGACATAATTTGTCCTGATGTTATAAAACATTGGAGAGTTTATGATACAAAAAAAAAAGAGAAAAAATGATGTTAGGAGATAAAATGCAAAATACGTTATATCTTTTTTTAATAGGAAACACGCCATATCTTAAGGGCATTTATACTAATTAATCTTTAGAGGTAATAATTTTTTTTTTGTTGACATTGCCATTATATAACAGTTAGAGTTAGACTAATGATTTTAGGATAAAGTAAGAAAAAAATAATGTGAGAATATAGTGTGTAAAATTGGCCATATACCTGAGGCTGAGTTTTTGTAATTTAGCCCTTGAACTTAACTACAATTATTAAAACCGAAACTATAGAATTCGATTTAAAATTGCACATCCACCAGCGGCTTCTAGAGGGACCAAGAACCCAGCACCCGAAAGCTAAAAGACGTAAAATCTCGAGAGCAATGGAGACTGATGAGATAGAGGAGAAACATTCGTCGGACTCAAACGAACTGGGAAGAATTCAAGACTACGTTTTGAAATCCCTACTTAGCGAAGGCAGCAGAGGATCAGTGTCGAGGGTGTGGAAGGCGAGGCACAGAGAAAGCGGGCAAATAGTTGCTTTAAAGCAAATCCAACTCTCAAAGCTTACCCGCAGCCTCAAGAACTGCTTGGACTGCGAAGTCAACTTCTTATCCTCTGTTAATCACCCAAATATCATCCGTCTTCTCGGTGTTTTCGAGGTTTGTTCAAATGGGTTCTGCTCATTTTCTTGTAATTGTGATCAGTTCTTGAGTTTCATAGCCTTCTTTTGAAGAGCCCATTTTGCTTTGTATTGAAATCCATTGTGAAATCAACTTTTTTCCCCTCTGATAATCACCTTATATTATTCATTTTCTCGGTTCTTTGGAGGTTTGCTCAAATGGTTTCTGTTTTTTCTTATAATTTGTACAGTGTCTCGAGTGTTATGGCTTTTTTTTTTTCTTTTTAACACCGCCATTTTGCTTTGTATATTGAAATTAACTCTGAATTCAAATTCTTATCCTCTGTTACTCACCCTGTATCATTCGTCTTCTAGATGTTTTTTATGTTTGCTGCGTTCTGCTCATTTTTCTAAGTCACTATGGCCCTTTGATCAGACCAATTTGCTTTATTTTGAGATTACTTTGATTGATCGTGAAATTGGATAATTGTATAATATTAAATTAATATAACGACTCCAAGTTTGATGGTGTAGATGTTTTATGTGTGTGGGATTAATCGTCGAATAAATTATGCTTGTGATTTCTTGTCAAGTGTATGGAATCTGCTCTGCTGTAAGCTGAAATGTAGCTGAAGTTTGCTTAGTTTATACTAATTTTAATCCCAGAGTGTAGGAAGTCCCATTTAATTCTCTGACTTTCATTTTTGGCATCTAAACTTAAAGTTGGAGTACTCCATAACATGGCCTTAAAGTTTTACAGATAGGTGAGTTCAAAATTGCTCAACCATCGGTGAATTGTTGATAAACAGAATTGCAGAAGGATTCCTAAGAAGAAATAGCAAGAAATAACAGATTATTTGTCTGAAAAGTAGGAAAGTAGAAAATTTGACACATTTGTGATGCTAGGTTCCTGTTTAATTTGCTTTGTTGGTTAACTTCTTTTTTTATAATTCTTGTTCCTTGTTGCATGTCACCAAAGTAATTTCAATCTGACTAGATTGTATTACGATAAAATTTTTTGGCATCATTAACTAATTTTAGCGTTCTGTTTTGGGATGTGACACCATGTTCATCATGGTTCATGACAATTGCTTCTATTACCGTTGCATGACACCAGCACACTCTCCTTCTCAAACTATGCTGCCACTGGATTTAGCTGATTGCTACAAAAAATTAGTGACAATCTACGGAACAATTTTTTCGGTTGCCAAATCAAATTGTCATAGTTGTTCATCTGTGCCGTTTGTGCACTCACAGCTGACTGAGACTTTGAGTTTAATTTTTCACCCGATAACCAAAATCCCCTGTTTTAACCGATATGCTCTGAAATTTAAGCTGACAGCTTTTTTATATTATTTATTTTTTGGATATACATTTGGGTCTATTAGCTCTTGAAATTGAGTGTGATGATGGACTACTCCTTTGATGTGATAATGTGTGGTAAGGGTTGAGATTCTGGTTTTGTTGTTGATGAAAATATAGCTCTTATTACATTATTTAAGTAATCATGCTGGCCATCACCTTGGTAGCTTTATGTCATGACTTTTATGAGCTAGGTTGGCTCTCACGTCCACTTAATTAGTACTATGAAATTGTTATTGCTTGATTGGATGACATAATATGTCTGTAAGTCAACTCGCTGGCACATTTATCTCAATGGATGTGGCTTGATTTATTTACTATTGATGTAGCTATATTGTGTATGAGAATTTGGACTCTTCCATCATAGCACTCATTCTACAACTATCTAAGACAATCATTTTTGTGTCATTTAATACTCAGAATTAGGGAAATCTAGGACATAGACTGTTTCCAGTCAAATGCAATTTAGATGAAAGCATTTAAGATTAAATTGAAAACATGTTAGTGTAGGATCTTTCATTGCTCAGGATTTCAAGAGCTTGAAAGTTGGATATGGCAGTCTTCCAGTATCATGGTGATAATGAAATTTTCATTTCTTTTCTTCCACAAAAAAAGTGAACTCCAAGAAAGTGATTTGCAATTTCCTTCTAATCACCTTCTCAAGGACAGTCAATGGACGTCTTTCAGGCTGAAGGCAGCATTTTTCTCATCCTGGAGTTTTGTGCTGGGGGCAATCTCGGTGCTTATGTCCGGAATCATGGTAGAGTGCAAGAATGCATAGCTAAAAGATTCATGCAACAGATTGGTAATGTTTCACTCAGAAAATGGCATCAGACTTCTTCATTTTCAGCAACTACACTATTTGCCTCATTTAATAATTTTGTTCCAGCTGCTGGATTAGAGGTGCTGCATTCACACCTAATCATCCACCGTGACTTGAAGCCAGAGGTATGAATTTTTTACCTATTTTGGTTAAGGTATCTATAAGCTTCCCTCACAGTGCAGCCACGAGTACATTTATACTTGTTTTATCTACGAAATGCTGCATCATAGGAGAGTGGTCTCTCTCACTGTCCAATCCTTTGACGACATATGTTCATTTAGCATGAAACTATGTTGTCATAAATAAACAATTGAAATAATGCTAATTATGCTGTTCTGTTTCTAAAATTTGGAAGTTTAGAATCTCAAATACCTCAAGCAAAGCAGGCTCTGAACTTACATAGTAAAAACATCTAATGCATGAAAGTCTTTCTGGTTTGGCATCTTCCATTTATAAAGAATGTTATAAAGAAAGCATGCCTAATACGCCCATAGTTGCATATCTGAGCATGTTCTTATAGCTATTAGACAGTTAGGTGAACACAAAGTATGTTAGTCACTGATGAGGGAAAAGCTTTGCATATGGTATAAGGTGATCACTTGTATTAATTTGGTTGCCGGTGTCAGCACACTATGACGAGTCTTTCCCAATTTCAAAAACTTGTGCTATCTCTTGTTGCTTTTGTCTTTCCTTCAGTAATCTTTCTCAATAGGATGGAATGGATTATTTCCTCTGTTTTTTCCTCTTAACATTGAAGGCTAAAATTTTCATCATATTTCCTATCAGAATTTTGACTTTCTGATACAAATTTTTTTTTTGGGTGTTGTTTTCTTTGGCTTAGAACATTCTGTTGTCAAGCTCTGATGGTGATGCTCTGCTGAAAATTGCTGATTTTGGACTCTCAAGGTAATAGTTGACTAACACGTAATAGCTTTTGAATTTTCATTTGACAGGAGGACAATGTAATAAAATTGTTTGTAATGATCTCAATGCCTTTTCCTGTTGACAGAATTTTGCACCCTGATACCTTTGCTGAGACAGTCTGTGGGTCTCCATTATACATGGCTCCAGAAATTCTTCAATTTCAAAAATATGATGAAAAGGTTGGAGATCTTTCTACTACTATTTTAAATGTGCTAGAGAGATGTTGCCAGCATATCCAATAGAACTATCGAGAACTCATACAATCATGAGTACAGATTGAGACACGTGATTTGATTTAAGCTTTCTTCATAGGTTGACATGTGGAGCATTGGTGCAATTCTTTTTGAACTTCTTAATGGCTACCCTCCTTTTCATGGTAGGACTAGTGTTCAGGTAACTCCTTTATCTAAATTGAATAGCCGTCTCAGTAGCTCCTCGTGCACCAATTATATTTGGATGATGCAGCTTTTGCAGAATATCAAGGAATCTTCATATCTTCCCTTTTCTCAGCTGGTTCTTTCTGAGTTGCATCCGACCTGTGTTGATTTATGTTCTAGACTGTTGTCTGTCAATCCAGGTTTGGATCCTACCTTGATTAGGATTTCATGATTTTCCTTTCTTTTCAGAGAGCAACGCTGAAATTTGGTTATACCTGCAGTTTTTAGTATTCCTTTGTATTCTGTCTATGCAGAGACCCGGATGTCCTTTGATGAGTTTCATGAGCATGACTTTTTGGAAATTCAGAAAGTGGAGAGATAAAAGCCAGCAATAAGTGGTTTCATTTCTAAATCACCATTGAACTGTCTTAGTGATTTATAGCTTTGTTTGTAAATCATCTCAATGTTGGTGACCAGGTTTCTATATGTTGATGTCATTATGATGGGTTGTCTGCCAAGATCTCAGTTGTGAAGCTGCCATTTCCTGAGTGTGAAAAAAATATTAACTCAGCTGCATTCCTCTTGTCAGTGGATCGTTCTTGAATTTAAAGCTTCTATAATGAATACTGTTGCTCCAGCTTTTCAGGCTAATGGATAACATTCTTCCTTGATTAAGTCTGCCTGTTCTCCTGAAATCATATACCTTCTCCTTTGACATAAATGACTAGTAGAGTACAAACCAGCTATGACAATCCGAAAGCTTACTTTCAGTCTGCCACACCACAGCTGATTGGATGAGTTTTTCTATCATATCAAGACTTGGTTTAAAATTGGCTTCATTTGGCATCTCAAATGTGGATAAAGTAGTTCTGAGTTACGGGTTGATAGCCAGAATGAGGTTGGCTATGTTTTGCCTTTTATGACACCAATTACCTGTTCTTTAAATAGTTATCCACTATAGTATTTTAAATAGTTATCGATGAGTTTTAATAAAGTCTCTTGCCACAGTTCCCAGTCAAATCATCACTCCCATGGATGAGAATATGCAGTGCACTAATTTGGCCTGCCCAGTGGCTATAGTGCTTTTACGGGAATGGAGAAGATTTCATGTGCCTTTCGCATTGAAGATCAGCTGCAATGTTAGATGGTAAGTTGACAAATCAATATTCAGTCTTCTTTGCTTAGGTTTGGTACACTTCTTTTGCTTGTTTGTGATACAATTTGGCAGATGGCAGCTCACAGGGAGGGTTAGGCTGCCTGTAGTTGAACTGGACTCAATTACCCCGATATGCCTGTGGATTCATGTTCTAGCATAGGCGCCCTGCAAGGAAGCTTCAAAAAACAACACAAGATTGCAAGTTCAGGAATACTGTTCCAATATCTAGAAACGCTGCTGTACTTGTTCTGGTCTCATTTCAGTATAGAAACGCTGCTGTACTAATTCTTTGTCAGACGCACAAGCCTTTTACTACTAAACAACTCTCCTGGGAATTTGAATTTGCTTATTCTGGTCTTTCCTCGATTTATTTCAATTCTTTTCAGTTGAATGGCAATTTTTTTTTAAAGGAACAGGAAGAAGTCAAAGTGCAATATTGAAATGAGTGAAGCCGTTATAGAGATGTCTCTGGTAGTTCATCTATTGCCTCAACAGTTCATTGAAGATGAGTTGATTACCTTGTGTGGCTGGATTCTATTCATTGCTTACGCAGAATTCAACAAATAAAATGAGGTGAGTTACAAAAGAATTGGTGAAAATGAATTCCCTTTCATCTTCATTAAAATGGGGGAGGGGGAGAGTGGAACAAAGTAAAACTCATCGAAACTTGTTGTCTCCTGTTGCCAAGACATGATTCAGCTGGCAATCTTCAAATCTAAGCATTAGGTTCCCCTTTTCTTCCCTAGGTCAGCCAGCAAGAACTTCCTTGTATCTATTGCATTTTGAGGCGCCAAATGATAATTTTTCTTTGCGAGCCTTTATCAGCTCCAAGGCCAAGCTGCATTTCGACTCCTTACTCGAACCTGTGCATCCACTTTACATCATTCCAAGATTGATTATCTATTGGTTTTCTGTAGGTTGATAATGAACCTGTAACATTTCTTGAGGCCCCAGCCTTCTGCTTATTAGAACAGTCTGCAATTACATCCCTGTATTTCATCACCTTCTCGGGCACCTGGTGGCGTTCCTGGACGGATCATCTGCCGGCGCTTGGTAGCTTGATGAAGCAGAATAACCTTTAAAGACATCTTTTGAGGAGCACAGCCCCGTCCCCTGCTTCGTCCAACTCCATGGCCCGTGACTTCTGGCCAATAACTTCTTTCTAATCGCTTTGGATTTTAGAGATTCACATCTGAGTGCCTGAAAGTAGGGATGTATGCAAGTCGAGCCAATATCAAATAGCTTGCGAGTAACTCGGTCAATGACTTGGCTTGAACTCGATCAAATCGAGTTCGAACCGAGTCTCGAGCTACTTTGGGCAAAAAAGTAATAACATAATTGTAAAAGATCTAAAAAGAAAAAATGCTGGGAAAAAGCAAAGAAAAGCTTCAGACTTTAGTTTCTCTTCCTCCCTTCTTCTCTGTTCGAACGAGTGACTTCTAAACCCTACCTCCGTTACTCTCAAGCCGTTGCTCGCCGCATCTGTCAGCCTCCATCGCCATCGCTTTTCTGGTTACTGGTATGTCTGCCTCTGCTCTAATGTGCATTTCCAGTTCTATTTCCATTTCCCCCTTCATTCATCTTTGCTTCCCTCTCTCTCTCTATGGCACTATGGGTGTGGGGACTGGGGACGGGGAATGGGAAGTAGTAGTATGATTGATTACTGGGTCTGGGAGTAAATCCAGAAGCATATTAAATTTGTTTTCCTGTCAGCCTCCATCGCCATCTAGATCTGATGAAACACTTCTGCTTTAATTTGTTTTCCTTTTTTGTCTTTTTTGGCCTTTTTTATTAGGCATGCGTAAGTGTAACAATGAATACGAAAGCTGTGTGGAATTTTTTTGCCTCTTTTTTGCCTTCCGCATTTGAATGGTATGCTGTGTGGAATTTTTCGTAAAAATGCCACGCAATTGGCTAAAGTAGGACACGGTTCTACTAAATTGGACTTCAACTGAATTGGCAACCTTTGTCAAAAGTGGTTCAATCAGAAGGAAATTGCTCACAACCCTTTTTTTCAAAAAAAAAAAAAAAATTTGAAAACACACTCCATCATCTTCACATGGCTCTAGAATCTAATTATTGCTCTCTTTGTGCTAAAGAATAAATTCTAACTTCTAAGAGCAGATTTCTAAAACCCCAAAATAAAAATTGTATAGATATAAGGCGTAACCTGTCAATCCTGGATGTTAAAAAGAAAGAAGGAAGAACAATTTGAGTATTTCGTAGTAGCCTGGATTTAATGACTTGATATGGAGAGTTAAACAAGCATCACTAGAATTGTTGTGTGTAATTTGTTAGAAATGCCTTTAAAACAAAACACACTCGGTATAATTCCACTAAACTCCACAAACTTCATCCCACTTTATATAATTCCTCTAAAGTCCCTAGATCACTTGCATTAAGAGACTAAAGCTCAAAAAGCTTGATTATGTTCGACTTGATAAGGCTTGACTAAAGGTCGAGCCTTATCGAGTCGACTCTCGAGTTTAAAAGAATTTTCTAGAGTCAAGCCTCGAGTTACGATTTTTAAACTTGGTCGAGCTCGAGCCGAACTCGAGTCTAGGTACATATAGGTCGAGTCGAGCTCGAGTATAGCACTATTTGAGCTCGACTTGGCTCGAATACATCCCTACCTGAAAGTAAAGGGTGGAAGTACTAATAATATATAGGGAGAAGGAGATTGAATAACCATGAAAATTAGGAACCAAGATTACGTAACTTACAAAAGCATAGTGTAGAATCGTAATCAGGATTCCCGAGATCTGTGTAGATCGGCAATCATTGTTACAAGCTTCCTGCACGAAATAAGAAACAAAGCTCGGGAATTAAGCCCCGGTTAAGGTCACAGGATTGCAATTACCTTCGAAATCGATGGAAAGGGGGTAACTATAAATACCTGCAATAACTTGCGAAATGTCATGTCAATCACTTCTTGGTCTTAGAGATACCTGGCTACCGAGACCTAAGTTATAAGTTAACTTGATGAGATTGGAAAGTCTACGGAAACAAGGGATCATCTCGAAGATGATCTCGGGTACTACACAAAGGATTTATAGCATTCATATGTTTCTTTAAAAGTTCATGTATTACTTATGGGAACCAGAGCCCTAAAATTTCTACTTGTTTTTTTTTTGGGTAAATAAAGCAATGAAATTTTGGAGTTTTTGTAAGTCATGATTACAATTCAGTTCTTTCTCAGGTTAATATGAAACTTTTTCATTCACATGTAATTCGTTCCCTATATATTATTTATATTCACGTAGGTATCATTGTTTAAAACGTGAAATATTAGCCCAATGAAACTGTATAAAATGGTCAAGCGTCCAAAAAGATGGGTTCTTATACGCCAATAATGACAAGCGTGTTTAAGTGCACAGGGATAGTACGAAGCAAATCGATTTTCTTTGGATCAAAAGATAAAAAAATCACTCGTGACAAATCTAATACATAGAAAAATTTCATGATTTCATAAAGGTGACGGAATCCGCTAAAATTAATAATCATTTTCACAAATTAGTTCAAAATATGAGACATCATATTGTACGTTTTGAAATCACGAAAATTTTTCTGTACTTTGATTTACCACAACGACTTTTTGTTTTTCAGTATCCATTTTCTTTTGGGATTGCCGTATCCGAAACTTGTCCCACATCGGCCTGTTGGATAAGCTTTAAGCGCGTTGTAATTTCTAGTGGTCGCCACCGTTGGCCGTGTTCATAAGAAGGAGAGATGGTTGGCATCTCCCCCGACAGGGACGGGAACGGCCTTCGGGCCTTAACTGTTACCAACACATCCGGTTAAGGCTTCCCGCTTCGGTGGATCTATAACCCAATTTTTTTTTTACCGTTTTACCCTTGAATTTGTCTGTCTCCTCTCATTTTATCAAAGTGTTTTGAGTTAATTAATAAATCATTTACACATTTTTTAATTTTTTCTAAATCGATGGCTTGATAACTAAAAAGATACAACATGCTAAATTTTATATATAAACTTGTTTTTTATTATTTTTAAGTTAGTCCAAAAAGATATTCTCATGGTTATAAATTATTGCAAGTCATTTTTAAGAGTAATATAAATCATTCATAATTTTAGGTAATTTAACCTATTTTATCTGAAGCAGTGACACAAAAATTGTTAACGAGACATTGATCAATTTGCAAAAGTTAAGTAATAAATTTGGCATATTATGATAATTAAGAAATCATAAGAAAAGGGCCAACTTGGAATCAGATTGTATTCACTCTCCCAAAATGAATTTTTTAATATTATATTTCGAAATGAGTTTCAAATGTTACACAAAGTTTAAATCTGGGGAGTTAAGTGAGATTTTTAAAAATTTAATAGTGTTAAGTGAAACTATTAGAAACCTTAATGGAGGTTTCTAAAATCATCTCTTTTTGTTATTTATTAACGGACATGTTATTCAATTCCCTACCCTTGAATAATCATCTGGTCTGGTTCCCTTTCTCATTTGCTATATTTTTTGGATTCCTTAATTTTTTATCATTTCCAATTATTTTTACCATTCTACCTTTAGATTTGTCTATCCCTCTCATTTGTCTCCATTTTATCCTCTGATTCGTCCATCCTTTCTCATTTGTTAAATTTCTTTTTTGTGATTTCTTAATGTGTACATCTTATTCAATTCCCTACCCTTAAATAATCATTTGTCGCCCTTTCTCATTCGCTATATTTTTTTTGGATTTCCTAAAGATTCAATTAATTTTTTCTTTTCCCGTTTTACCCTTGGACCTCTCTGTCCTTTCTCATTTGCTATAATTTTCTGATTTCTTAATTAACAACTGTTATTCAATTCTCTACCCTTAAATAATCATTTTTCCCATTTCGACCTCTAATACATGTCCAAATATGCTGTATGTAGGACTCCCAATCTATTTAAGATTATGAATGTATATTTCACGCCCTTACAAGTGCGTGATTGAGAGTTGGCATTGAAATATAAGAAAGCGTGACAGGAGGTTTGAATATACTCCTTCCGTCTCAATTATTTAGTTATGTTTCGGAAATCTAATATTTTAAAAATTATGATTTAATTATGATGTTTATATATATTTTTTTAATTTTATTTTCATAAATTCAAAATTTAAATGATAACATAAGGGTGTTTTGACTTTTTTAACGTGACAAATATTTTAAGACATTTCAAAATAGGAAGTAAGGCACTTTCGACGGAGCATTACAAAATACTTATAGTTCTTGTAAGGGCGAACAAAGATAACATGGCGGCGTAGGGGCTTCTTCATTTTATCTTAATTTCATCTCAAAAACATCGATATTAGGGATTTCTGTGCATGGATTTCTACTCATTTTGCTTCTAATAGTTGGTTGAAATTTCTACGGGGGAAGGTAAAATTTTGTCTGATGCTGTAATTATGCAATTTTTGGCTCAATTATTGGGCTGCTGATTATTGAAGTAGGTTATGTAGTAATGCATCTTAGGTGTTTGATTATTTGCCCCAGTCAACTGCTATAATATACTTGTACTAATTTTTTATTCGCTGATGTTTGTAAATGGGTTTTTGCTCTATATGCATAATTTGTTGTGATTTAACTGTAAATTTCGGGTGCTGTTGGTTTAATTTGTGCAGTCTTTAGCACAACAGATGAGGTATTAAAGCATCGCAGGTGCTTGATTATTTGCAGCAGTTAATTAAATTATTTTTACTTAGTTATTACACTGGGATGATTCTGATTTTTGAGCTGTAACTATACTTTTCAGAATCTGTATAGTAGGAAGAATAAGTTGATACATTCCTGATTTTTCGTAATAATGATCTCCAAGAAAACCTTGTGCGCTCCATTCTTTATCCCTGGCCCTGTGACTGCAATTACGTCCATTTTATTAAAATATTATGTCAACATGATGGAAATTATCTAATGATTTGTCTGTTCTCTGAGAATGAGAATTTGAACTTCTACTGTAATGGTATCAGTTTTGGAGTTTATTGACCTGATGATTATTAGTTAGTAAGAATAAAACATGACAATCTTGAAATTCCTGAACCCTCTTACTGGCTTTAAATTTCACTGGTTGCTGAACTTTTTGTATGATTTGCACTTGAGCAGTTCTTTAATTGTTATAGTGCTACATGAACCTCAGTGGCAGTTTTGTTTATTGTTTTTTTTTTCTTTTTACGAATAATACCTTTTGGAATCTGGAAGATGCTTGGTCATGAACCATAATTCATTATTATTTGAACTATAAAGAGAAAAATCCCGCCAACACCCTCCTTGTACCTGTAAGGGGAGCTCCATTAGTAATCTAGGCTCTGAATTTGACGTATAAAGATTGTGATTTTGACATCCTAAATTTGTTTTCTAGTCCCAAATTTCACACAACGATGTGTGCTTTTTTGTACGTAACTGTATTGCTTTGCAGTTGTAAAACAAAATTTTAATTGTTGCTGTTCCAATTTGGAGTCTCTTATTATTGCAGATCTCATTGATCTGTTTCCCTGCGTTTTGCTTGGAGTGTGGTTGGTTTGGATTTCTTGCTTTGACCCAAATAGTCCACGCAAAAGGAGGTTAGGCAGAAGAAATGC